GAGTTTTGTAGTGTTGAACAGGCCTCACAAGAAAGGAAGAACTTTTGTGTTCTCCTTTTTGGGCGTGGTGATGGTGAAGATTTTGAGCTAAAAGGGTATGACATTGCAGTAAAAGCAATTGCTCAGTTGAAAGACAAGTCATACCAGCTAATGTTTGTAGGTGCACCAAAAGGAAAAGAGGAAGAAGTAGCAAGCAAGTTGCTTGCATTTGGCATTCCTCCAAGTCAACTAGCAGTTCGCTGCTTCAAAGAAGATAGAGAACAGCTTGACAGTTTATTTTGTGAGGCTGATCTGGCAATCATGCCTTCAAGAACTGAAGGGTTTGGTTTGACGGCACTGGAAGCCTTATCTGCTGGTCTACCTATTCTTGTAAGTGGTAACTCTGGACTTGGAGAAGCACTGGATAAAGTTCCTTTCGGTTCTCCATGTGTAATTAACTCAGACGATCCTAAAGAATGGGCCAATGCCATCAGAATTGTCCGTCAGAAAGAGAGGAAGGTGCGACTGGAGGAAGCTATTGGTCTTCACGAAAAGTATGCAGCAAAGTACAGCTGGCAGCAGCAGTGTCAAGATCTTGTTAGGAAAATGGTGCAGCTTGTCTTTGGTAAGAATTACATGTATGCCATTTTTTGCCTGTTATTTTGTTTTACCTATCAATGTTCAATTATTTTTGTCCTAACTGCTATTCCCAAAAAGCTGCTTGAGCTACCTTTAGGCATGGCTATAATGGTTTCATTTATATAAACCTCCAATTCTTTTCTTCATTGATACTACCAAACTTTTCCTATATAATCCTCTGAAAATTGGGTTGAAATATTTCTTGATACAGTGATTGCAATTCAGTGATACAGGATTGGTATTGTTGGACTTATTTTAGAGTTACTGCAAATGTAAAGCAATAAATGAGGGTTTCTGTAAGAATGAAAGGTTGTAATGTTACTGTGGTAATCTTATTATTTTTGGAAAAATCATTACAATCTTGAAAGCAATTATTTGACTGTGATAAAAAGTTGTTTAAACAACAGTTTATCGTAGAATTAGTGTTAGAAAATAATTGAACCATTTTGAGCCACTTCCCCTGTCTTGTGTTTCAGTTATTTGACTGAAACTTGCTCTTGTTTGTACATGTGTCCTCTTCTACAAGCTCTCTTAGTGTGTTGACAACATTGATTGTCATTACTAAAAGACATACATGTAAGACGTAACCAGCCTTAGAAGTTGGTTAATGTTTACTTCATGTACATGACTTTGTACATATGAATTATTTGTATATAATTATATGGAAAGAAACAGGTCTACCTCAAGTTACCTTAATTTTGAATGATGATCAGATTTAAGTTGCTAAGAGTTTACTACCGGCATATATAGTGTTGGATGAAGCTTACCATTAGTTCTCAAGCATGTATGTATACCACCTGCTCATATTTTTCTCTCTTAAGTTTCCCATAATTATGCTTTTTTGGGGCTTTCTGTTTTTGGTTGATGCATACAGGTGATCTTGGTACTTGCCAGCCCTTGGTAGTGGACGATAATTCTTTACCTACCCATGTTGTTTCTAACAACAACAAATCCTCAGCTACTGTAGCAGTTCACCATGAAGGTAGACAACTGCATTTTCCTTTACAGTTTACATGTATTTTAGGACAATACAAAAAATGGGTAGGCTGAAACAGACACAATGGAATGTACAATCTAACAATGGGATGCATTAAAAATTTCCTTTCAAATGGCTATAAATCAAAGAGGAAATTCTTTTTTTTTTTGCCTGATTTTTCTTTACATTACGAGACTATAATTATTTTAAATTGGATATAATTCTCTTTTGTGAGTTTTGGTATTGTACAAGGAATGTGTCCTTTTGTCCAGTAGTGAACATCCATACCCTGGAAGACTTCTTGATTAATACACCCTCAGAACTTGTTCAAGAGCGATTCACATGTACTTGTAGGTGGAAATGAGGTGTTGGCTAGGGATAATTCATGATTCTTAATTGCCACATTGTGGGCAGTTAGTCTAATGTTATTAAAGCAAAATAGTTTGTCATTGAGTGAAGTAAAGAGAATAATTCAGCTTCCATAGAAAACAACATAAAAAAAATTTCTTGTTACTTTGTACCTGAGTATTCAACCGACTATGTTAACCATATATTTTTAAGTGCAGTTAAACTTTTCTTTTCCAGATGGCGCAGTAAACAAGTCCAGACAAGCTTCAGATGAAGAGGTTAAACCGAGTTTTTCCTCTGTTGCCACTCAATCTGTGAAGGTGCAACTTGAGGAAGCCACTGTTCTTGAAGAAAAGTATGAAGTAAAGTACAGCTGGCAACAGCAGTGTCAAGGTCTTTTTAGAAAAATGGTGCAGCTTGTCTTTGGTAAGAATTACATCTATGCTGTTTTTTCTCTTTTATTTTGTTTTACCTATCAGTGTACAATTATTTCTGTAATAACTGGTGTTGCCAAAAAGTTGTTTGAGCTGCCTTTAGGGTGGCTATAAATGGTTTCATTGATGTTAACCTCCAATTCTCTTCTTCATCGATACTACCAAACTTTTCCTATATAATCTTTTGGAAATTGGGTGAAATAAAAACTATTTATTGATACTTTGATTGCAATTCAGTGATACAGGACTAGTGTTGGTAGACTCATTTTAAAGTTACAGCAAAGATAAAGCAATGGGTTTCTACAAAGGTTTCTATAATGTTGTAAACATTACAACCTTTAAAGTAATTATTTGACTTAAGAAAAAAGTTGCCAGTCAATTTGAAAAACAACTTAAAGGTAAATTTCATTTTAAATCGTAGAACGCCTTTAGT